GGAACATCCCTCTTGAAGATAACTCTTGTCCCCTACTTCCAAACAAAGAGTCAACCCACATTGAGCACCCTCTCCGTGGATCACCAACTCTCCCCAACCTGGGGCTCGAACCTATACCAACTAATGTCCACAATCAATCATCGCCCTATTGGGGCTAAACCAATCTATCACCACAATGACGTTACGCTCATGCAGGGGAATAGGTAACAAATCAATTGGATATTGCTCATCGAACAACTCCAAAGTGCATCCTTGATGAACCCTTGACACTCGTAACGGACGGTCATCAACAATCTCAACATCTAGTGGATAATCCAACTCTCCCAAAACATCGTCAAACCTCTTGCTAAGTGCAAGAGATACAAAAGATCGGGTAGCTCCCACATAGAATAAAACCAATACAGGGATACCATTCATGAGGAACGACTCTAAACAACAATACAGACATATGAGTATGATAAATAACATAAATGTAAAGGTAAGGAGAGATTACATACCCGTGACCACATCAGATGTTGTGTGAGCCTCCTCGGCTATCAACTAGATTGCCCTACTCCAAACAACTAAAGTCTCCACCATGCCCTGGATGGCTATCTGTGATGCTTAGAGTCATTAGAGCAAGTGCTACTACTGGTCCTAATGCTGCTAAACTCAGGCAGCTGGCCTTCTTATGGCCTCTCTAACTGCAATGGAAGCAAATCAGATCAGATCCTTAGGTGGTAGTAGTGGTGGTACAATTCTTTCCAAAGTGACTTATCTTGCATCGCTTGTAGCACCCCAACCGCCTGCTTTATAGATTTCGCCATGTGTCCTGTCACACTTGCCACAACGGTTCCAACTCTGCTGGCCCTTCGAGCTAAAATCGAAGCCATTGGTTTTCTTCGTTGAAACCCCTATCATCTTCCTATGATCTTCCTTTCTCTTCCCTGTATGCTCCAAATCAATCTCCCCTTCCCGAGCCCAAGATATCATGTCATTAAGATCCAGACAGGTGGAAAAACTAACAAAGTCCCTGATGTCAGATCTCATCATGTCATGGTACTGGGGGTTCCTCATTTCCTCATCTGCAGCATACTAGGGTACCAATAAAGCTCTCTCTTGAAACTTGGAAGTGATCAACCACGGTATCAGTCGTATGTCGCATATCCAGGAACTCCCTCGATAGCTTTTGTACCTTAACAGCTGGTATAAGCTCTGCTTAGAATCGGGTCACAAAATCCGACCAGGTCATGGCCTTAATCGCTTGGGCTCCCAGAGTATAACCAACCTCCTCCCGCCAATCTCGAGCTCGTTCCCTCAGACAGCCTGCATCGAAACTCACCTTCGACGCCTCGAGTTTTGGTTTGAAGTTTAGGACGTTACATCGTGTAAAACGAAACATGAAAAAGTTTTCAACCTTGAAGCATAACTATAGGTATAGGTTATCCTTTGGAACCCGTAGATGGTTTTACATTTCATAATTGCTCAATTATAACTAAATGTTAAATTTAAGAAAAAAATGCAAAAAGAATAGAAAACTTTAGGGATTCGGACTTTCCAACACTCTAAAAAGTCTTTTCTGCTTATTTCCATTTAAGTACTCTACTTGGTGAAATAAGTCTCTATCCATACCTAGGGGTCCTTATGTGTTAACTTCGGTCCCCTAAAAAATGCCTTAGAAGTCTCTCACGGTAATAAGCTGTGAGATGTCCCAATGGTAGAAAAATTCAAGGAAAAAAATATATAAAAAAAAACCAAACAAACAATAGATATGTACTTTTCCCTCACAAATGTACTCCAATGTTTAAGTGTCATAGTAGCGCCCTTATTATGATGAATATCTTGGTATGTCGCGTCAAGCCGACATTTAAGGCATGAGTATATCCTCGGATACTTTGAACGTGCACCCTTGCGAATAGAACTTTAATGGAGCTATCTAGGGAAAAAAATATAAAAGAGCTAAGAAAAAGAGTCAAGAAAAGCGTTATGAAAAAGAGTCAAAAAGTGGGCAATTCCACATCAATGTGTTTTGCATAAGTTAATATGATTAGGAGAAAATTTTGGCTGTCAAAAGATTCCCTCGGAATTGAACATATTCCTAATTGTTTGATATGGATGAGGTTATGGGTTTGGACCACCTTTGTTTTTCATGTAAATAGTTTAAATGTTCCATTGTTAATTTTATTTCCTTATTTTCTTAATTATCTTTCATTCATGTCTTGTCTTTCTTAAGGACAAGAAATTTTTAAGCTTGGGAAGATCTGTTAGGTACATTTTATGCACATTTTTAACATTTTTAGTATATTCTTGTGTATTGCATTTCAATAATAAACCATGTATTTTACTTACTTTCGGGATAATTTTTGGCGTTTTTCATTCCCAAACTTTTTATTGCATTTCAGGTGGTTCTGGGGGTTGAATATTATAGAGGATGATGAAAAAGGGCTAGGAGCAAGTTTGCAAAATTTTCGGAGCTCAAACAAAGAAATCAAGATTCCATTACAAAAGGTTCGACACGGGTCGTGGCACTTTGTGCATAAACCTTGACACAAGTTGTGTCACCTTTGACATGGGGCATGTCAACTCAGTGAAATACGACACTGGGTCGTATCCAAGGAAAATGTATGCCCTTTTTAGTAACGTACTTTGAGGATGGATCAAAAGAGGGCAACATACTTTCAAGCCACAAGGGGTCGTGTCAGTCTTGTAACTCCATTTTATTAGTTTCTTTTATGACTTATTTTGGGACTTTTAGCCATTACAAACACCATCTCTCATTCCAAGCGACCAAAGGGCTATTTTTGAAGGAGGTTTTGGCTACTAACTTTGAGGACATTACTTGGATACATTTTAATTCAACTTTGTAAACAACTTTAGGACTTAATTTCCATTTGTAGATTTGTTGATTTTGATCTAATCATCTGTGGCTAGAACCCTATTTTTTCAATTTCATGTCTTAACTTGTGGTTTGTGGTTTAATTGTATGACATGATGTTTTCATTCAATTTCTATCTAGTGAATTTGGTTTTGTTTCAATAAAAAGTTTAATTCTAATTTTGATTCTTATTGGATATTTGAACTAGGTTTAGATCATCCAAATTATCTAATTTGCACAATACATAAATGTTTTGTGCATTAGACTTAGTAACAAACATTAAATTGATTTCCACTGAATGATTTTAGTGTAAATCTTATCCACACATTCTTATGCTTAGGAGCTTATGAGGAGTATTTGATGTTGTTGGGAACATTCACATAAAGTTTAATGCAATATTTTGATTTATTTCTAAGATCATGTTTAGACTTGAATTCAAAGAATATGTTAGTTTGAAAGAGCTTGTTTTAAATCTAATAATTTGGTGAATGAAAATTGTTAGAGCTTACTAATACTTTCAAGTACCAATTTAGATGGAATTGAGTATATGTTATATCATATTTAAATCACATTACCAAGATAGTCAAACATAGGATGGGAACCTTTACATTTCCGAATGTTCTTACAACATATTATTTCCTTAGTTCTTTATTAAAAATCTTGCAAACAAACCCCCTGTTTTCTAAGTAATTTGTACATTATGCAAAAGACATAAGTAACTCTTTCGTGTCTTTGAGGATCGATTACGTTGTATTACTTTTTAGTGCATTATAACAGTGTATTTGGAGTCTATTGTACATCTATTATTTGTTGGGTTTGACACCCTAACATCAAGTACAGTCCCATATCAAATACAACACTAAAATGCCTCATGGGTTAGATTCATAGTGCTTTTTGGGTTTGGCTTCATTGGCCTTACTTTTAGGTCAACTAAGTAGTATATATACCCTTGAATTCATGTAACCTAATGTATTTGTAAGCAATTCCGCAATATCAAAAAACCTCTCTCTCTTGTTTTCGCCCGTGAACGTAGCCGGTCACTCTAATCGTGTGAACCACGTAAATTGACCGTGTTCTCGGTTTTATGCACTTATTACTCTGTGGGAAATCTTTTAATTGTTTCTCGAAGTGCTTAAACACTAAAAGGGTATGGTTAGATTAGCTTATGTAGTGTCACTAGCGTGTTAATTTTTTAGATTTGGTTAGTACAAGTTAGTTGGCTGTTAGTTTGTTCAATTAAGAATTTCTATCCTCAATTCAATCTGTGTTCCATAACATGCCCTTGGTCATGGGACATGTTATTGTTTGGCGGCTAGTAGTGACTTTTCGGGTCCTTTGATCTCTTGGTGATTGGCTGATTGCATAAAGACAGCAAACCTGGCCCAAGTTGCCTCGGTTAACTGTATCCACACTATCAACACATGTTTTTAACATTGATGCAAAAAAAAGTTTTTTTTTCGACAAATGATGTCCAGAAACAGCTCTTGAAACAACAGATAAAAAGGATATTAAAATTAAGACAGCATTAACCTAAAATTAAATTAATTAAATTAGTATACAAATAACAAAGTTTAAATATTTTATTTATAATAACTTGAAGCCGAACAAACAGGTGTTCAAAAGCCAGCTTGCATGTAGTCAGCAAACAGTTTTTTGCCGTATGACCAAGGATAAGGTGACACCGAGACTCACATGCCAATCAAACATGAAGTAGATGTGCATTTATTAGAGACAACAAGTTATATGGAGACATCAACACAAGACTAACTTTTTTTTATATGTATAATAATTTATTAGAATAATAGATATACTTTTATATACCTATATACTACAATATAAACAAAAAGGAAAAAAGAAAAAACTTTAACAAGGACCCATATGCTACAACCTTTTCAAAGGTTTATAGTATTTTGTAAAAATGATTTCCAAAATACTTTATAAAACACAGATGTAACACAGCATAAAAGCTGATATAGTATTTCATTACTATGTTCTTTTTCTCTGTCACATTCATATTTCTTAAAAAAGGATCACAATCACATCTTTCATCCATGATTCTATTTACCTTGGAAATGTCAAAAGTAAAATTAAATAATTAAATAATAAAATAAATACAACCCAACGCATTAAGTGCTCACTCCATAATGCACCGGTACGCTGTACGTGTTATGGTAGGTGACCACCATTAGACTTATAGAGATAGAAACAAAACATGAGGTAGAGAATTAGAAGCTTAGGCGACCCGATTTCAATGGAGAAAGCAACTATATTTCTTCTTTTACTTGTTCCACTCAACATTCAAAGCATCTCTTCACTCGAACTCCACACCATTTCAGATTCAAAATTCTTGACAGAAGGAGACACCTTGGTCTCACCGGCCGGACTTTTAGAACTAGGGTTTTTCCGGCCAGGAAGCTCCGATAACAAATACGTCGGTATTTGGTATAAGAAGATCCCCGTTCAAACGGTGGTTTGGGTCGCCAATAGAAACAACCCAATCCCCGGTGACTCTTCAGGCACTCTAAAGATCATCCAAACAGGAAATCTAGTCCTCGTCAACGACACTAACGATGTCGTATGGTCAACCAACATGACGTCATCAGGCAAGAACGCAATTGCACAGCTTGACGACTCCGGAAATCTAGTCGTCAGTGATGGAATCATCAAGAACAAGATTCTATGGCAGAGTTTTGATTATCCAACTGATACCCTTCTTCCTGGAATGAAGTTCGGGAGAAACTTCTTGACAGGAAAAGAATGGGGTTTATCATCATGGAAGAGTAATCAAGATCCAAGTCCCGGTGACTACACGTGGACTGTTGACACACGTGGCTACCCTCAGAATCTACTAAGAATTTATGGATCGATCAAGTTTCGGGGTGGACCATGGAATGGTGTAAGGTTCAGTGGTGCTTCTGGGTTCAGTAAGAGTATGATCTTTACAACCGAATATGTTATTAACGAAACAGAAGTTGCTTTTACTTATTATCTTCAAAACAGTTCTGTGGAATCAAGATTTGCGTTGAATTCATCTGGGCAGCTAGAACGTTATGTGTGGGTAGAAGAAGCTAAAAAATGGCAGCTTATTTTGGCATTACCTAAAGACATATGCGATACATATAACATCTGTAATGCTTATGGAAGTTGTAGTATTTTGACATCACAAACATGTGGGTGTATCGATGAGAAAAGATTCATGCCTAAAAACCAAAAGGGTTGGCAGATAGCAGATTGGTCGGGTGGTTGTGTGAGGCGAACACCATTGGATTGTAAAAATGGATCTGATGGATTTGTTAAGTATACAAGTGTGAAATTGCCTGACACAAAGAGTTCATGGTTTAATATGAGTATGAGTTTGAAAGAATGTGAAGCAAGATGCTTAAAGAATTGTTCTTGTATGGCTTTTGCAAATACAGATATTAGAGGGGGTGGAAGTGGTTGTTTGATGTTCTTTAACGAACTTATGGACATTAGAGTATACTCGGAGGGAAATGGAGGTCAGGATCTCTATATAAGAATGGCTTCCTCGGAATTAGGTAATGATTTTTCAAACCATGTAACTTTTTTTTATTATGTGTACTACATATATGCAAGTAGATGAGTTTATTGCCATGTTAGTATATATGATGTGGAGCGAATTTATCGAAGACTTATTAGATTCCTTAATTGATAAATGGTACTATATAAGGGGTGAAAAAAGGCTCAACTTCAAACAGACATAGCTTTTGATTCTGTAGAAGTTATTAGCCTAACTTTTTATAGACATAAAGTTCTCAATGGGCCCGATGTCTCTCCAATTTTGATTTTTCTCTAAATTTTGGATTATTTCTCGTATGTTATAATTGTAAGATCACATGATTCCCATGGTTTTCTTTAAATGATCATGTTATTGATAAACCTTTTATTTTAAGTAAATTTTGGCAGTTTTATTTAAAAATTTGGGAATAACTTTCATGTTTAGATCCATCTATGTTAAAGGTTCAATGTAATCCTTTAAAATGATCTTGGAATTTATAGTCTCTATTTTGTGTATCCCTAAACACTTTTCTTGTTGCTTACTTATGTTCGATGTCATTATCCAACAGTTGCTCAAAATGTTCATGCAAAGGGAAGATCAAAAATGAAAATAATCATACCAGCAATCTTTTTAGGGGTTGTGATAGGCTTGAGTGCTACATGGTTCTGGTATATATGCAGAAAAAGGCATCATCCACAACCAAAGAGGGAAGGTAAGAATATTGCATAATTTATAGAGAAAATTAAAATGGTGGGAACTCAATAGATATAAGAAAAGTAGAGTAATATGAATTCTTTAAGTAGATTCTTGTAATTGTAATGAACAGGGGAATATTCTCATGGTGGAGAAAGCCAAAGTGAAGGAATGGAGCTACCATTGTTTACTTTTTCTATGATAGATAAAGCTACTGATAGTTTTGCACCTGAAAATAAACTTGGAGAAGGTGGATTTGGACCCGTTTATAAGGTAATACTAAAATTGTATATAAAAAAAGACATGAATGAAAATCACCTTGGGGGGTTTGTATTGTTATTAACAGGGCAAAATGGTAATTTCCAGGGTATACTAGAAGAAGGACAAGAAATTGCTGTTAAGCGTCTCTCCAAGACTTCAAGTCAAGGACTTGATGAATTCAAAAATGAAGTCATTTGCATTTCAAAACTTCAGCATCGAAATCTTGTTAGACTACTCGGATGCAGCATAGATGGAAATGAAAAGTTGTTGGTTTATGAATACATGCCAAACAGAAGCTTAGATTGGTTTATATTTGGTTAGAATTACATAACTGCAATTGATCAATTCATAATTACGAAAATCCCCATCTGACAGAAACTACATGTTGGACAGATAAAACACGAAGCTCACTACTTGATTGGCCAACACGTTTCAACATCATCAAAGGAATTGCTCGAGGACTTCTTTATCTTCATCAAGATTCGCGATTAAGAATCATCCATAGAGATCTTAAAGCTAGCAATATTTTACTTGATTTGGACATGAACCCTAAGATATCAGATTTTGGCATAGCTAGAAGCTTTGGAGGAAACGAGACTCAAGCAAACACTGAAAGAGTCGTGGGCACATAGTAAGCAAGCTACATAAATCCAGATTTACATCCACTTATTTTTCATAAGTTTGTTTTTTAACTTTAAACATGTTGTTGCTTTTAGTGGTTACATGTCCCCAGAGTATGCACTAGATGGTATTTTCTCGATAAAATCAGATGTATTTAGCTTCGGTGTTTTGGTGCTTGAGATTGTGAGTGGGAAGAGGAATAGGGGATTCGTTCATCCTGAGCATGACAATAACCTCATCGGACATGTACGTTAACCGGCCATAAATTACTCATTTGATTTGGATACTATGTCTTTATGTCAGTCACATAGTGAGCCACTGTGTACCAAATTTACATCTGACATGATGTTACTGAGCTTAAGGGTGCGTTTGGTTGTGAAAAACTGTTTTTATTTTCTATAAAACATTTTCCAAAAATAGAGTTGAGTTTTCATTTTTTGTTTTCAATGAAAATTTTAGAAAAAACATGTTTGGTTGAAACCTGAAGTTTCATTTTTCGTTTTAGAAATTTGGAAAACTTTGGAAAAGTGTAAAAATCATTTCTAATTTATACACAATTGGGAAAACAGAAACTTTTCATTTTCTTGGAAAATTTATGAAAACTGAATAAACCAAATGCATTTTCAAAATTTTCAATTTCATTTTAATTTTATTTTGAAAAACTAAAAAAAATTTCTACAACCAAAAGCATCCTAACCGTTTTGCAGAAATATCTTATAGCCATCTACTCTACTAGCTAATAATTATTTTCACATATTATATTTAGGCATGGAGAATGCATAATGAAGGAAGGACAATGGAACTCATTGATACAACTTTCTCCAAATCAAGCGATCCATGTGAAGTTTTAAGATCAGTTGAAGTGGGATTGTTATGTGTGCAACAAAGTCCAGATGATAGGCCAGAAATGTCGTCTGTTGTTCTAATGTTGGGCAATGAGGGAGCAATGTTGAAACCTAAGCAGCCAGCATTTTTCACGGAAAGGAACTTTCTTGGGCCGGATTTTTCTTCAAGTACATACCCAACAAGTTCAACTAATGATGTAACTGTTACAGAGGTAGTTGCTCGATAGAAAGAATCAGTAGAACAAATTACGCTATCATAAATTTGGGTTTATGAATCGCATGAAAATTTCAGATACAAAGAGTACGATCAGTTTAGTAACAACCTAAATTCTTTTATTGTTTTCGTGTTTTCCGATCACACGTCAAAATTCATAACACAAATTTTATGGGAAGTTAAACGAAAGGATGGAGTGAACAGAAAATAAACCTGAGGAATAGCTACTCTGGATGGATGAAATTATTCTCCATATTGTTCGTTCTAGTAGGATTTCCAAGAAGGGAGACAGAGCATTTTGTGTGCGATATCACGAAGGTGCAATGGAATTAATGGATGGATCAGAAAATTAATTGAATCCAATTTGATTCCAATTTGATTTATTTTTTCACCTCCCATTCCCCTCCTTTCAATCTTCAAGAAAATAGATATCTTTGCTTCTACATACTTTTTTTTAACCAGTTTTATATTTTTATAATCATGAATTTTAATATTTTATAACATTTTTTGTCTTGCCCAATAAGAAGAAAAAGAAGAACATAGAAACCATTCATCTAAGGCTACCTGGAGTGGAGAGGTCTCCACTCATGAGATGCTTACATGGACGGCTTCTCCATGCGTGAACGCCGCCCCTATTTATGGTAGGTTGGTTGTGGCCTGAAGACGAGGACGGAAGAAGACAAAGAAGCTGATTGGCTGGTTAATTTTCGACCGTTTAAAAGCATTTAATAATAAAAAATGTTTTTATTTTTAATTTACTCTTTCTATATATACGTCCATTTTACATATATTTTTCGAAACAAAACACACAAACTCTTTCAAATCAAACACACATTCAACAAAAAAATAGATGATGATTCTAATGACGAGTTGATATTGAACACACTATTGTTTGCGGCACAAGACATATGACATGGTCCATAAGAGAGGCGAAAGTTCACACGGCGAGAAGAAACATAGAAAATGGATCAACCGGGATCGAGAGGCGGCAAATAAACTTTTGGTACGTGATTATTTTTCCCTTGATAGTTTATATGATCTTTCGAAATTTGAAGAACGTTTTCGTATTAGTAGAAATTTATTCTTATGTATAGCTAGAGATTTGGAGCGTATGACTTTTTCCAATTACGATAAGATGCTAACGGTAAACGTAGTTTTACTACAATACAAAAATGTACAGCCGCTCTTATATAATTGGGATATGGTATAACCGTAGACGCATCATATGAGTATTTGAAATGTCTGAGAGGACGGATCGAGAATGTACACATCTTTTCTGTGAGTATGTGATAGAGCTTTACCATGACATATATACTTGCAACATTCGACTAAAAGTGATGTCGAACAGTTGTATGTCGCGCATCAAGCTAAACATGGTTTTCCATGGATGTTTGGTAGTATTAATTGTACAACTTGGGAGTATGCAAATTGTCCCGATGCATGGCGTGGTCAATTCACGCAAGCTGAGCATGGGGTCCCGACTGTCATATTAGAGGCGGTTATTTCACATGAGTTATGGTTTTAGCAAGCATTCTTTGGTATGGTGGGATCCAATAATAACCTGAATGTACTTCAAGCGTCTTCGTTATTTAACAATATTTTGTAGGGTAAAGGACCAGACATGTAATACGTTGTGAATGAAAATTAAATATAAGTATGGGTATTACCTAGGTGATGGGATATATCCAGAGTATGCTACAATTGTCAAGTCATATTGATTTCTAGCTGATGAAAAAAAAAATTGTTCAAGTTACCATAGGAATCTGCACGGAAGGATGTGGAACAAGCGTTTGGACTCCTAAAAAAAAGTGGCACAAAATCAAACATTTGGCACGAACATGGGATAGGGCAAAACTAACGACGGTGTTGAATGTTTGTGTTATTTTACATAACATGATAATAGAAGAAGAGGGCAAGGCTATTTGTTTATATACCGAGAATGATATACTTAATCCACCTACAGTAATACAAGTTGGTAGCCAAACATGCTTCTCTAGGGTTTTGGAAATACAAAACCATGAAACACATCACAATCTACATCACGATTTGACCGAGCAATTATGGGAAAGTCAATTCTAATGGGGAAATGACGATGAGGATGAGAGCAATGATGATGAGGCGGATGTGGACGCTGATGACGAGGACACTGAGGAGTAGTATTTGTCTATGGTGTTATGTTTAAATTTTTTATGTTTTTTAATTAGTGTAATGTTTTATTTGTTATGTTTTATGTTTATTTTAGTAATTTAGGTTTTTAATTTCTATGTTTTTAATTAATGAAATGTTAAATTTCTATGTTTTTAATTAATGAAATGTGGTTTTATTTTTTTGTGTTTTCAAAAAAAAATTAATTATGTTTTTTAATTAATATAATGATACAAAAAATAAAAAAATAAAAAAATAAAAAATTTTATTTATGTTATAAATTATGTTTTTTATTTAATATAACGTTAAAAAAATTATTTATGTTATAAATCATGATATTTATTTAATATAATGTTAGAAAAAAATGAAAATAAAAATAAAAAATCATATATTGATAGTGTTAACAATTTCTAATGTCTAGTGGGTTGGTGATGAAACTAATGTGGTAGCGTAGAGGTGACAACACTTTTTTGGCGGGTCGGCTGTAACCAAACCCTGCAGCCTAACAAACTTACCCAGTGTCCTAAACTGCACTTGGAATGCCTGGTTCTTGGTACGCATTTAATAATAATTTATTCATTTTTGTAGAGTTACCCGACAAGATGGGAGCCCCAAACTCGTCGAGTAGAAACCTGAATGACCGCGGGATTTTAAGTCGGGTACTCAACGAGTTCAGAGCCTCAACTCGACGAGTAGGGCAGCTAGGATGAAACCCCAAATTCGGGGTTTTACACCCTATTTAAGCATCATAATCCCCATTTGTTGGCCTCATTTCCAACCTCCAAGTCCCAAACCCTAATCCATGAAACCCTAGTGCCTTGTATGAGCTTGTGAGTTGTTTTTTAATGAAGATTGTGTGTTTCGAAGCTTGTTGAAGAAGGAGGAGCTTGGAGATTCAGAAGGAAGCTAGTAGATCCAAAACAACATCTCATCCTCTTCATTTTCTAGTAATCAAGTCTTAACATTTGCTAAATAGCTTGTTAGATCTCCTTCATATCATTTTATGGGGTTTTTGTTCCAAGAAGCATGATCTTTGGGACATGGACATCCTAGGTGGGTATACTTTCAGATCTATGACCTGGAAGGGCTGACATGGCATAAAGGTGCAAATTTTATGGCTTAGAAGCCCCATGCAAGCTATAAGTTTCCATTTTAGCCTTTTAAGCTTCAAAAGGCCATGCATGGGGAGAAATTTAGGAACTTTACGTGTTCATGGAGTGCTTAGAGTTTGGATCTTAGTGAATATGCTCTAGTGTGGAGTATGAATCGCTTGTGGACCAAGATCTAGGTCCTAAAGGTTTAGGGTTTGAGCTAAACCCATGATGAAGGGATATTAACAGGTAAAGTTGGAAACTTTACCCTTAAAAGGACATTTTCAAGGTGTATGACGAGTATGAAGCTTAGATCTGAAGAGTTAGGGCTTAATCTATTAAGATGGCCCAAACAGACAAAGGAACTCGGCGAGTCAAGAGAGAGACTCGGCGAGTTGAGTCGATTTGTCCTGATTCTGCACAAGGTAGAACTCGATGAGTGTGTGAAAGAACTCGAGGAGTTTACTCGTTTAATCGTAACTGTGAGTAGCCTGGGAACCCGACGACTCAGGTGGATGACTCGACGAGTTGGATTGCGATTTCAGGGTTTTGATTTATAGAACTCGGCGAGTTGAGTCAACCCAGAACATTAACTTTAACCAGGGGTAAAATGGTCATTTTACCCTAAGAAGGATTATTAGTTTTTGACTAACTGTTATTGTGATAATGATAGTCGGGGAGTCATTGGAGCACCCGTCAGAGATTCCTCACACAAGATTTCACATTTAGCTTACGAGGTGAGTTTTCCTCTAGTAGGAATGGGTCGAAGGCACCAAGGTCGGCCCGTTTATGTATGTTAGTATGTTACGGATTAAGGTCCAATGTCGGGCAGGGCCCGATATAGGTTTATATGTTTTTCTGAATTTCGATCTGATGTTGGGGCGGTACCCGAAGAATGTTAGTATGCTTGATGTCTTTATGATTCTTGCATGGGTTTGTTATTTATATGTTTCTGGACTACGGTCTGATATCGGGGCGGTTCCCAAGGAATGCTTGTATGCTTCCGGATTTCGGTCCAATGTTGGGGCCCGAGGAATGTTTATATGTCTATGATTAGGTGGCTGTGCTCATTCTATGTGTATTAGTAGTTATGCTCATATATGCTGAGTTTTGCTCGATGTCGAGCGGGGCCCGATATAGCAGTGTGGGGCCCAAAGTATGTTATATGTGATTATGTGTATGGTATGTGGTAGTTTTGGGAGACTCAGTAAGCTTCGTGCTTACAGTTTTCAGTAGGGATGAGCAAAAGGACCGAACCGGACCGGAACCGGGAACCGGCTTCGGCCAAAATCAAGAACCGAACCGGCCCGGCGGTTCTACCGGTTCCCGGTTCCTACCGGTTCTTGTCGTGTCTTCAAATATTGGAACCGATCCTTGAAAAATAGTATCATACGGTTCCGGTTCTTGCCGGTTCTACCGGTTTTTGCCGGTTCTACCGGTTCCGGTTATATCGGTTCCGGTTCCTACCGGTTCCCGGTTCCAAAAATCCACAAAAATAACGTCCCGGTCCCGGCCCGACCGGTTCCATCGGGTTCCGGTTCCAGTGCCGGTTCCGGTTCCGGTACCGGTTCCGGTCGGTTCCTCGGTCGATATGCTCATCCCTAGTTTTCAGTTTTGGTTTCAGGTACTTTTGGTAGCAAGGGGAAGTGCTCGGGATGATTGCAGTGTACACACCATTTGTACCATTTGTTCAGCCTAGGATGTTTAGACTCTGATATTTAGAAATGTGACTTTCATACAGTATTTTGATATGATGATTTGAGATACATGACTTATGATTTTTAGATGATGTTTGATGACTTATGGTTTTTCTTAAATAGTTTTAAAACGAAATTTTTGGACCGTATTTTTTGGAGTTTTCAATTTGGTATCAGAGTCATGGTTTGAGGAATTCAGGCACACTCTCTTGTGTGTCTAAACTCAAACTAAGGACTTGGTATGAAAATTTTCAAAAGAAAAGCATTTTTATTAAAAGAATTTTGAAAAGAGAAAAGGGTTTCAAAAAGAGAAAAAGGGTGTGGTGCATGCAATCAGCCGAGCTCAAGTATGTACTCCCAAATTACCCATACAAGTTTATGTTATGATATGCTTATGAGCACTGCATGTTAGATTAGGGCTAAGGATCTACGAAGGATACCTTATGTGCCTGTTATATGTGTATCGGCTTTATGAACTGCATGCTACTACAGATTAGACAATGATATGATGACCTGATTAGGACATGTTTGATTATGTGTATTCAATGCTTGAATGTTGCTTGCTTTGTGCTTTTAAGAGCTCTAGTTATCTTTAACTAACTAGTAAATGAATATGTTAAGTTACATATTTCAAGGACTAAATAATTTCAAAAGGTTGGGTGCAGCTCTTGATTGAGTCCAACCGTCTTAGGGTAGGACCTCTCATTCAAAGAATTATCTAGTCTTAGTGAAATGTAATAGTATTTGCGAGTTGTTAGGGGGAGATAGCAGGGACTTCTTATGCAGCTGATGGCGGAGATTGGGTTGTCGATTACCCTAGGGCATGCCTAGAATGAGATTAGCGCTTGAAGCAGTAGTAGTAGAAGGGACTTGGTGAAGTCAAAGCAATTCTTGAGGAAAGTACGGATAGATGTGGAAGGTAGTATGGGCCCGTACTACTAAAAGCAGAGGATCCATACTCGAATCAAGGAAGGTTGAGATGAATCCAAGGAACTTGCAGTGTGTATGATCCCTCGATGTATGATGAGTGTTCTGATGTTTGTTATGGTGTATTTTTCAGTATGGTAACGCTACGTACTGGACCAGTTGGGACTTCAGGCACTGGTGAGGGATCAAGCTTGGGCTCTGGAGTCAGGCAGCTAGATGACCAAATGAGGTAGTTCATATCCTCTGAGATCACGCACAATATTCTGGACCAAACTCCTTTGATCTTCAGCACGATCAAGGAGGGTATCTTGGAGCTTTTGGATGAGAGACTAAGTGCTTTCTGCACTGAGGTGGCGGCCATGATGGGGTAGCGCACATTGACATTCAGGGAGTTCAGAGCATGTGGAGCTCCCGACTATCATGGGGCTTGGGACCCCATTGCTAGCGGCAGATGGCTGATAGATGTCGCCAACGGCTTTCACACCAGCAGATGTCCCGAGGGGGACAAGGTTCGACTTGCTTCCTGCCTCCTGAAGGATAGGGCATGAGATTGGTGGGAGGAGGTTGGGAGAGCTATTGGTGATGATGATGTTATTAATGTGATGACTTGGAGTGATTTCTCGTCCAGGTTTGGGGCCGAGTTTACACCTATGATTGAGGTGCAACAGTTAGCGAGGGAGTTCTAGGACCTCCAGTAGAATACGAAGACGGTGGCCGAGATCACCGCTATGTTCAGGGAGAGGGCCCTTCTCGTTCCGCAGTACGTGGTGGACGAGGAGATTAAAAAGGCCCAATATCTTGAGATGCTGCGGAGTGATATCAACCAGTTTGAGATCCGATCCAGCTGCAAGACACTAGAGGATATGATTGCTAGGGATCAGGAGAAGGAACTGGATTTAGAGATAAAGAGGAAGAGGAAACCAGATGGGGTTCAAATAAGCAGTTCGGGCCAGAAGCCCAAGGTATCAGATCACAGATCGGGAGCCAGCAGGGTCGTAGCCGGTGTAGCAAATGCGGCAAGATGCACGATGGGGTGTGCATGGCGGGGAGTTCGGGTTGCTTCAAGTGCGGCCGAATTGGTCATATAAGCAGCGATAGTACTGCTACCACCACCACCACATCAATTTCAGATCTGATTTCCTTTCAGTGTAATCAGATGGGCCACAAAAATGGTCTATTGGTTGGGTTTAGCAGCATCAGGACAGGTGGCAGCGCCTACTCTTGCTATGTTGAGAATTACAAATGGCCGTCAGGACCGGGTTGAGGCGCCTACAGCTAGGAGCAGGGCTTTTCAGCTTACTGCATAAGAGGCACGTGCAACTCCCAATGTTGTGACAGGTATGTATTTTGTCCTTATCTCTTTACTTGTATTGATTATCGCTTATGTTTACTTGTTTTGTTATAGGATCGTTCTTAGTGAACAGTATATTAGCTTTGGTATTGTTCGATTCAAGGGCTACCCGATCTTTTGTGTCACTCGCGCTTAGCAAGTGATTTTTTGGATCTCTGGGGGAGCTAGACTATCTACTAGATGTAGAGATAGTGGATGATAGGACCGTTCGGGTTGCGAGGGTGCATCAAGGATGTACACTTCAATTGTTAGATGAGCAGTTTTCTATGGATCTAGTCCCTATTCCCCTGCGAAGGAATAAGGTTATATTCGGTATTGACTGGTTGAGCCCCAATGGGGCAGTGATCGATTGCGAGCAACGGTTAGTGAGAGTTCGGACTCCTAGTGGGGGAGGTTTAGTGATTCGAGGCGAGAGGCCGCATCGTGGACCGACTTTATGTTCAGCAGCAAGGGTGAAGAGCTACCTCCAGCAAGGTTGCACAGGGAATGTTGCCTATGTTATGGATACCCGGGATAAGGGTATGGCGACAATGGATGATGTACCAATCGTGCGATAGTACCCCGATGTATTCCCGAATGCTTTTCTTGGGATACCTCCGGAGAGGTAGGTTGAATTCAAGATTGAACTAGTCCCTGGTGCGGCTCCAACAACCAAGGCACCATATCCGAGATGAAGGATTTTTCTATGCATCTGCAGGAGCTACTAGACAAGGGATTTATCAGGCCGAACAGTTCGCCATGGGGAGCCTGGATCCTGTTTATGAAGAAGGATGAGTCACATCTCATGTGTATAGACTACCGAGAGCTGAATAAGTTAACGGTGAAGAACTGGTATCCTCTCCTGAGGATTGATGATTGTTTGACCAGCTACATGGCGTATATTGGTTCTCCAAGATTGATCTACGGTTGGGTTATCACCAGATGCGATTCCGAGACAAGGATGTGCAGAAGACAGCTTTCAAGACTCGCTATGGTCATCATGAGTTTGTGGTGATGCCATTTGGGCTCACCAATGCTCCAGCCACGTTCATGGACCTCATGAACTGCGTGTGCAGATCGATGCTGGATCGGTCTGTGATAGTCTTCATTGATGACATCTTGGTTTATTCCAAGACTTAGGAGCAGCATGAGGAGCATCTACGGGAGGTTCTAGAGACTTTGAGGATGGAGAACTTGTATGCTAAGTTCTCCAAGTGTGAGTTCTGGTTGCGCGATGTGCAGTTTCTTGGGCACCTTGTCAACGAAAACGGGATTTCGGTAGATCCGGCCAAAGTGGAGGCTGTGATGAGTTGGGAGGTTCCGAGGTCTCCATCTGAGATTCGGAGCTTTCTGGGATTGGCAGGCTACTAGCGGAGATTCATTCAGGACTTCTCCAAGATACCAGTTCCGCTCACCTGACTGACTAAGAAGTCGGTGGTGTATCGTTGGGGGGCTGAGCAGCAGGCCGCGTTCGAGGCACTGAGACAAAGATTGTGCGAGGCGCCAATATTAGCCCTGCCGGAGGGAATGGAGGGTTTGTTGTGTATTGCGATGCATCCATCGCAGGTTTGGGTGCGGTATTGATGCAGAGAGGGCATGTCATCGCCTACGCGTCGAGGCAGCTGAAGCCTCACGAGGCGAACTACCCGACGCATAATTTGGAGTTGGGGGTTGTTGTATTTGCCCTCAAGATTTGGCGTCATTACCTCTATGGGGTTCGTTATAAGATCTACACGGACCACGAGAGTTTGAGGTATCTCATGGACCAGTCAAATATGAGGCACTGTCGGTGGCTTGATGTGGTAAAGGATTATGATTGTGAGATCCTCTACCATCCCGGGAAGGCCAATGTCATGGCCGATGCACTTAGCTGCAAGGCAGCGCCGATCATGGATATCTGTCTGAGGATGACAGTGGTGACTCCGCTTCTGGAGTGGATCCGGGAGGCTCAGCAGGAAGCTATGAAGGACGAACATCGGAAGAGTGAGCGGATTGTGGGGCAGGTTTCCTCCTTCAAATATGATAGCCGACGGTTGTTGACTCTTCATCGTAGGGTGTGGGTCCCTTATCATGGAGTGCGCGCTATGTCCTGATGGAGGAGGCGCACAAATCCCGGTTCTCCATTCATCCCGGAGCAATGAAGATGTATATGGATCTTCGTCTGGACTATTGGTGGCCCTGTATGAAGCAGGATGTGGCAGGGTTCGTGGAGCGGTGTTTGACCTGCAGGAAGGTCAAGGCCGAGCATCAGAGACCACACGGCAAGATGCAGCCGTTGGATATTCCGCTGTGGAAATGGGAAGACATCACGATGGATTTCATCACCAAGCTTCCCAGGACCGTACGAGGAAAATATATTTGTAATAATTATCGATTTTTGAATGATTTAAAAAGTTTTAAATTGGCTTGATTTTTATGGGTGTTACACCTCCTCTATGGTAATCAATATCTCATGGTAGAGTTAAAAGGAGAGTATCCAGTGCATCCTATAATGCCATGGTGGATTCATTGCAAACATCCATGTCCAATTGAATGGATCACCTCGTATATCGAACGATTAAATGTGTATAAGCATTACTATCGTTCTAGTTTTAATGGCTAAATATGTATATTATCGTTCTAGTTTTAATATTTGAAAATTTAATCAAAATTATGCAACATTGATTAATATGTACGATTGTTTTGAATTTGTAATAATATTTATCTTTATTAATTACCGCCTCCTCTGCATCAAAGGTACACATCCTCAAGCCTGCAATATCAATGCGACCAAGACCAAGCATCGATGTGCAATCCGATGTCACAACATTGACAATGTCTTGTTCCATGTCGCAAATATGGCTAAAGCGTGAATCACTTGCCTTGGGATTGTAAGTTCCAACATCAATCCGAGCTTTTAAACCTGCGCAAACAGACTCTTCTCCAACGACGAAACAAATATGGTAGATCTAATGAACGCCATTGGCAAACTCAGGGTGTTCAATCAACTTGTCCATAATACGAACGACACCCACATGGAGAACCCATTTTATATCTTTAGTCACCTTGTCCAACTCAACTTTTTGTCTCATCAAGGAGCCAGATAGAGTCACTTACATCCCTATCCCATTTAAAACCAGTCAATGATCCAAGAAAAACCGGAAACCACAGTTACTATGATAATTACGCATGTTATGTTGACTCATCGATCATCTCAAAACCAGCTAATGATCCAAGAAAGACCGAAACCACATTTACTATTCATAAGCATGTTATGCTTTACATATGTATATTAATAAGAAATTTATTTTTGAAGGGATAACGTTTAAGTATTAGAAATAAAAATATATAAATGTTAAGTCCAAGTCAAAAAATAATGGGCCCCATTTAAAACAAACTATTTATGCCTATACTTTTCAAACTAACTTATTTATATCAATGCATTTGAAACTAACACATTTCAATCAATACATAGAATATCTTTATTAGAAAACTCTAATTAACACATGGTTTTTTGTGTTGAAACACTACTAGAAAAAAGGCCTTTTACGACGCGCAAAATACGACGCTCATTGATCTATGTTACGCAAGAGAGTTACGCAAGAGAGAGTGACATTAGAAAAATGTCATCTCTTCAAAAAATTTAAGTATATATGTCGCGTTTTATTGAGTGCCCTTAGAGTTAGTGTCTAATGTAAAAAACTTAAAAACACGGAGGGCACTTAATGTAAAATGTGCGGCGTCTCAAAATGTCGCATTATAATTTTAGTGAAAGGCGCGCATCTCTTCACAAAAATCGAGGTTACTAATAAAATATCTAACACTCACTATTCATCAGTCACTTCACTCTCTACGATTCTATCCTCGACTCGCCTCCCCTTACAGACAACGTCTCCTCCTCCGATCGTTAGGTTACTTCTGTGGCTGATTTCGCCTCGCCGACGACCGTGGGCTCAACTGACATCATTGGAGACTGCTCAAATTTACGTGCCCTAGGTCCGATTAAGGTGTTCCTGTTGAACCGATTTAGGCGAAGTGAACTTCTCGGTTGGCCAGAGAACGCTGTAACAGAAGAGAAAGAGCAGAAGAAAGTCGACACAAGGGGAAGAAGCGCCTGGTAGCCATGAATCTGATGCTAAGTTGAACACATTCAAGGGTTTCTCACCTACTGAAGCTTCTCAAGTCGAACACAAGGTAAAATCTCAAGCTTCTCAAGTTATATGTAATGTTTTTATCCCCTTCTTTCATCTTGCGAACATTTTCTCTGCTTTTTATCCCAAACTTTCACCTTGTCCTCAAGGTGAAGAAAGGATTGGCTAACCGTGTATATATAATGTCAGTTGCCTAAGAAAAGAGTCGAAAAATCCCTCAAAATACTCTTAATCAAACTCCCCTGTGAGATGTTTCTCTTCAGGTTCTTCGAACCCTGGTCTGGTAGAACGTAATTTTTTATGTTTTCTGATTGTACTTATGAAATTATGAAATCGTGTGGTATCTTTCATTTCGATTGGGGGTATGTATGGACGATTTGTAATAGGGATTGAGATTATGAAATCATGGTTGAAGCATTCATTAAACCCTAAATGTAGATGTCTGAGTCGAGATTTATTTTTGAACTGTTGAGAAATTCTGCAAGGACACTTGATCTTCTCAAGATCATAGAAAAAAGTTCTAAGTTGTTTCACTTAATTAGTCAAAAAGCATATTATTCTGGAACCAAAAGACTTGTTAGAGCATATTAAACATTGAAAGTGTATGTATTTATGAAATCAGCCATTGATTCATTTTACATTTTGATCATCACACAACCTCTTTGATAGAAACCAAAATCCAATAACAGATAAATGAAACTCAAATATGAGATATATAGATCTAGGAAGCTATTGGTTACTAAATGGAAATAAGAAGAAATCAGAAAGGAAATCCAAATGATTATCCTCCTGCCCTAATCAGAAAAGTTCTCTCAAGAGAAACTTACTGCCCAAGCTAAAGCCGATACTCAAAGTTACAAAATACTAAATGATTCAATACTCTTAAGAATTAAAAATCTATAAAAAGCTTGCCTGTTTGTTTAAAGCATCCAAAGTTTCTTCATTGAGGTCATTACCAGCAGTGATTCCAGTCTTTCCAAACCTTGGAACTCCAAATTCCATTCCAATTGTTTCAAAGAACTTTCTTTTCTCACATGAAATATAAGCAAGATCACCAAAATCCAACCGAATTCCCCTTGCTTTATACCTATATAAATAAATACATCAATTAACATATTAATTATTATCATTAAAGTTTAAACCTTTTGTATCATAAAATAGAAAAAGACAATAATACCCTAGATCATTTAGTGCTAGAAGAACAACACAAAAGTTAGGAACACCACTCTTCATCACTTAGGAAAAAAAATTATTTGATAAGTGTTTGCTGACATGCAACCTACGTGGCATGTACTTGGCAAATTATTAAAAGGTTAAGGTCATATAATAACTCACGTATTTGTACTTTCTTACATATATTTTTTTGTTAAAATACTTCAGGCCTCAAGTATTTTATGCAAAAAAAAATAATCCCTGTCAATTTTCATCACATACAAAAAATTTCAGGAGTGAAAATGTAACACCCAACGCAACAAAGACCCGATTACCCTTTGCCTAATGCCTACCTTTTCTGATGACTACCTTCAGCATTTTGTTTTGTTTTGTTTCAAATAGGTGCATAATTTGCAAAAAAAGACAAACACAAAATTGCTGTCTAAAGAAAATTCTGATTTTATTGCAACAAATCTTCTGGCTACAAACAAACAAAACATTCATCTCATCTTGTTAAAAATAAAGTCGATTCTTTTCTGTACACCTGTATCAAACCACTGCCATCTGTAACTTGAAGCTTCTCATTTAACATTGTCTTGTATTCATCATCTCTATCTTCTAAACCACGCATTAGTTCAACCTGTTCAATACAAACACCACATCATTTGTTGGTAATCAACATAAATTTATGATGTTGTGTCTTGTCCTAATGGGGCCCACATCATTAGAGCATATTAAACATTGAAAGTGTATGTATTTATGCTTCTAACTATTTTTGCTTGTAGGACTATTGGCAAGTGGATTAAAAGTGCATTGATCTGGGTGGTAACTACACCAGTATGTGGCTTGGTGCTGTGCATCTTACACGGTTAGTATCTCCTCCACTTATTAATTTATTCCTACAAGAAACATTTTCACTTATGATCAAATGCAATTAGGAGTAGAACCTACTTTTAGTCATTTAGAAGGTTGATCTCCTTGGTTTCCCATGCAAGTAGGTATGATGGGCACTGCCAAAAAAATTAGCTTACATGGCAAAAATTACTATTCTAGCTTTGCATTTTGTATACTTATAATAGGATTGATGAATGAGATGATTCTAGGCTTTGACATAATTTGACTGTGGAGTGTTTCATGGTCACACTAAAGCATAAATGGGCATGATTTCTGAGTTGACAGCATTGCTTGCTTTATGAAAACGTGATTTTTAGTTACTTTAATGAAGTCTTTTCAAGAAACTTACAACATTCGAGTTTTAGAAAGCTCTTAGGCGATTTTAACAACTAAAAAGTCTTTTTGATTGGATTTATGAGTGATTGTGCATTGCAATATGCATATAGTTACAATGAGTTACAATTTTTTTGTTACTTGCTGCAGGCTCAAAGGGTGATAAAGCAACAGTTTCTGCTATAAATTACACTGATATTCCACATACTCAGGTAAAAAAAGGTATTTATTTTTAATCTATCTATTTTTTAGGGTACATAAAGGTATTTATTTTTAATCTATCTATTTTCTAGGGTACATAAGTTTTTTATTTTTCATTTTCTAATATAGATTCTATTATATTATTTTGATTAAAAATTCATTTTTGTGAATATTCGTTTATAACATATAGCTCAACAGAATGAGATTAAAAAGAATGTCATCCAAAAAGCTTCTTGCTACTCTACAAGCAATACATATAACACCTGCACCTCTTCTTTTCTAACAGATCCATCATGTTCACCCTTTAACAGGATTCATACAAATCAATTCAATCATATTATAACAAAAACAATAATTAATCTATAACTAAAGTTATTACAGATAATAAAAACAACCTTGAGAAACAGAGAGTTTACCTTTCACAGAAACAGATTATAAAAACAACCTTTTCTAACAGATCTTTTATAGATCTTAGGTACTCACCCTTTCACAGGATTCATACAAATGAATTCAATCATCTTTAAATAATAATAAAATGATAATTAATCGACGTGTGATGAAAATTTTACTAACCTCAATCTGCCACATTAAATCAGGAATGGAAACAAGTAGAAACATCAACTCATTAACCAACAAAGACAGAAGAAAAAGAAAGAAAGAAAGAAACAACAAAGAACAGCCATACCTATAGGAAGTTCTTATGCAGTATTAATCACAATTAACATCAAACATAAATATTTATACATTTTTAGAATGTAACTGTCAACTGACAGTTAATACCTAATTATGGCAGTTACTTTCTATCTAACTAACACAACTTTCACTAATTCCCATTCTTAAAAATAGGTGAAACCAAATATCAAATGCATGTATTTAGCAGATCGGTTGTCTAAAAGAAAGCAGAGGTTTAGCAGATCAGTTGTCTAAAAGAAAGGGCAATGACATCATCTTTATGCCCTACAATCCCGGGTATTGTTATTTGACATTTTATTTTTAAAATGACTGCAATTATGTTATTTGACATTTTTTTGTGGTTTTTGTAGAAGACATTGGGTATTGGGTGTACTAGACATGAAATCGGATACTTGCTATTATCTTGATTCCTTGAGCTCTGCCAATTTCAATATGCAGTTAAAGCAAATTGTTGATTCGTAAGTAATATAAATTATCAAAACACTTGATGTGAGTACAATAAACACATATTTGTTAATGTTTTTTTATAGGGCGATAGTTCTGTACACTACTGATATGGATAAAAGGTACTTAAAATGCTTTGAATTGTGTTTTCAGTCCAGAAGATATGCTTGGAGGCAAAGAGGAGAAAAGGGAGAGCAAGTGAAGATTAAAGAGTGAAAAGACTGACCTACTCAGCGAGTAGATCGACCATACTCGGCGAGTACACGATGATATGCCAGAAGATAAATACGACTGCTAATCTAAAGAGGGGTAAGTATTGACCTACTCGGCGAGTTGATTCTGCTACTCGCCGAGTACCCTCTGTTTTGGGATATCTTTAAAAGACGAATCCTTATCTCATGGGACAGAACCCCTGGCGAATTTTGAAGGATTAGCTGCGACTAAAAGGTTCAGAAGGCGCTAAGGAACCCTAAGCTTCAAGAGTTTGAAGAATTCAAGCAATTAGGTTAATTCTACCACTTAGACTTAGGAATTAAACATGTTTGCGTTCATAAACTTTTTTTTTATGCTTGTTTCTACTACAACTATGAGCTAAACTCGTTTTTGTTTCTGTTTGGGGAATACCAAAGAACTCCTATGGTTTAATTATTGAATTTTGTTTAATTGTCTATTGGTGATTTATTAAATTAAGTTTGTTAAAGAACCTTATGTATTAATCACTACTATTTTCTGTTAATTGGAAGGCAATTAGGTTGCATGAACATCACTTAATTGTTAACCTCATATGTCTATGTGAATGCTAAAATGTATGCTTGGAAGTAATGAGTATGAAACTAAGATTAATAAGAAAATAGGAAGATTAATGTGTGAGCTTGTTTGAGAAACCATCAACAAGAGGTTAATTGAATTAATAACTTAATTGACCATTACAAATCTTATTTAATCCAAATAATTAATCTAGGGAATTAATTAGTTTAAACACTTGATCAACGCTTAAATTAGTTAATTGTCTAAGGGTTAGGAGTAATGAACATGAACCTAACTATTATCATTGGTAACCAATAGCAATTAATCTACCTTAACTTAAATAACCATAGGAGTGAATTGGTTGAACCTAAATAGAAACATCTTTATCAAATTTGGTGAATAGTTGTTGCTTTAGTTAATTAGTTAATTTAGTTGTTTAAGTTTCTAGTCTTGCAAAACTAGAGAAAAACCATTTACTTTTATTATTTGTTTTAGTTAAAATTAGCTATTAGTTTAATTTCCGTTCCCTGAGTTCGATACCTTACTTATCAATCTATACCACTCAAAGACAGGTTCACTGCCTTTGTGTGCTTAAATTATTAATAAAAAGTAGGGATAAAACTAGTTGAATTTATACACATCAAGTTTTTGGCGCCGTTGCCGGGGAACGGTTCTAAATAATTAAGCTAATTCCTAATTTTTTCGATCCTTTGTGTGAGTTTACTTGCATAAAGTTCATTTATTTCAATTTAGTAACTGGTAATTAGGATTTAGTATCTGTTTTAGTTAGGTTAAAAACTTCGAATTTTTTTTGAAAAACCACTGATACTCGCCGAGTGCACTCGCACCTACTCGGCAAGTAACAGTTTAGTTACAATTTTTTTCTTTTATTTGTTTACAATCCTTTTGTTCCTTTTACGCTTTTTATTTGATTAATTTCAGGACTTTCATGACCAGAGGAGCAAACACACCACTGGTACCCCCGTTTGAAGACCCCGAATCCGAATTGAAAAGAAATAAAGGGAAGGACGTGGAGAGTTCAAGCACACCAAAGAAATCACCATTGTCCAACTTGAAGACTGTTTTTGGGAAAAAGAAGAGCAGCAAGTCAGGAGCTTCAAGCGCTTCCTTGATAATTGAGGAGCCAATTCAAGAAGAGATTAGATACGAAACCGAGGAAGAAGACGAGGCAACTTACGAACAAGACACCGAATCGGAGGAAGAGTTAGCATTCACTATGGCTAACATTGATGAAATTCCCATGGGAGAATGGAAGAAGAGGATGCGCGACGACCATGGCCCGGGACTTGTGCAACCCGCAATTCCCGCAACTGCCACCTTCGAGCTAAAAGGCCATATCCTAGCTTCACTCAAGGAAATACCTTTCTACGGGAAAGATCATGAAGATGCCTACAAACATTTGGATGAAGTAAATGATGTTGCTGATTACTTCAACATTCCAAATGTCACCCGCGAAACTCAACTACTTCGGATGCTTCCGGTAACCTTCAAGGGTGCTGCTAAAGACTGGCTCAAATCACTTCCTCCCGGGTCAGTCACTACTTGGGCCAGAATGAAGGAAGAATTTATTGACCACTTTTGCCCACCATCCAAGATAGCCAAGCTCAAGAAGGCCATTGCAAACTTTGAACAACAAGCTGGAGAGTCGTTATATGAAGCATGGGAGAGGTACAAAAGTCTGCTACGAAATTGCCCACACCATGATCTAAATAGCCAACAAGAAGTTTCCATCTTTTATGATGGAGTCAATGTCACGACCCGGCAGCTACTAGACTCACAAGGCCCACTTACAAAGAAGCCACCCCTGGTGATCAAAGAATTAATTGAAGAATTCTCTAAACACTCTAGAGAATACCACAACCCTAGGAATGATGTCACGAGGGGAGCCGCATACGCTGCTACTGAAGATTTATCCGCGGTCATGGCCATGTTAAAAACCATGGATAGGAGAATGGACAAAATGGATCAAACTATCCATGCCATACGGGTGGGTTGCGAGAATTGCAATGGACCTCACCTCACTAGAGATTGCGATTTGGATGAGCACGGCAACAAAAAGGCCCAAGTGTGCTATTCGAGCGGTGACCGGTATGATGAAGACTAGCGCAAACAAAAGAAGGAGTGGCTGCCTTACGAAGAATACAAGAAGGCCAAGGAGGAGAAGTATAGATAAAAAGGGAGAGGCTTTTACCAAAAGGAGGAGCCGGTGCAAGAGAAGAAGCCAAGCTTGGAAGAGATGCTAACTAAATTTGTGGCTGCTTCCGAGAAAAGACACAGTGACCACGATGCTGCTATCCAAGAAACAAGAACAATGCTCAGGAACCAGCAAGCATCCATCCACAACATAGAAACTCAGCTTGGGCAACTCGCTCAACAACTAAACCAAAGGTCACCGGGTGAGCTTCCTAGCAAAACCGAGAACAACCCACGAGGCGCGCAAGTGAATATTGTTACCACAAGAAGTGGGAAGATTATTACTCCCCTGGCCCCTATTCGAACTGAAGCGAACAAGGACTCACAGAAGGAAGGAACGGAAGTACAAGTCGAAAACCAACATTCACAATCTGAGAGCCCTACTCGCCGAGTAGGACCGATGGACTCGGCGAGTACATCTGCAAAAACTAATGATCAGCCACCCTTGAAACCATACCAGCCTCCAATGCCGTACCCAGCCCGAGCCAAGAAGGAGAAGCAGGAAGAGGAATATCAGAAGTTCCTTGATCATATTAAAACTCTTCAAATAAACATTCCTTTCATTGAAGCCGTCATGCAAATGCCCAAGTATGCAAAGTTCCTTAAGGAACTCCTCACTAATAGAAGAAAGATGGAAGAAGTGCAGAAAGTAGTATTGAATGAAAATTGCTCTGCCGCCATGCTAAACAAATTAACAAAGAAGAAGGGTGATCCGGGGAGCTTAACTTTGCCTTGCCAATTTGGCAACTTGGCTGCAATACATGCTTTAGCTGATTCTGGACCAAGTGTGAACCTTATGCCATACTCGTTCTTCAAAAAGCTGGACCTCCAGGAGCCAAGGCCAATTCGGATGGCAATTCATTTGGCAAACAAGATGGTTACTTTCCCAAGAGGCATATGTGAAGATTTGCTAGTGAAAGTAGACAAATTTGTCTTCCCGGCGGACTTCATCATTCTCGACATGGAGGCGGATCCACAAGTACCAATCATCCTTGGAAGACCCTTCCTCAACACCGCTAGCGCCATCGTAGACATGAGAGATTCTAAGCTCACATTGCGAGTTGGGGACGACTCAGTGACATTCAGGGTAGACCAAGCCATGAAGTACTCAAGGAGTAGTGACGACACGGCGTTCTCAATCGACATGCTTGACGAGTTATTGGAAGAAGACATACCTGAAGATTCCAGCAAGTTTGCAGCTTTGGAAGAAGTATTTGATCCAGAAAAAGACTTATTAGAGATTGAAAGACTGTTGGAAGAAGCAGAGTATGAAGAACTAAAGAACCAAGCTGAAAGCCCTACTCGCCGAGTAGACCCGATCTACTCGCCGAGTACATCTGAAGAAAAGCCAGCAGTCGCGAATGCCGCCACCAACTCGCCGAGTACCATACCTGCACTCGGCGAGTCCGCCACTATGCACAATAAATTGGAGCTCAAAACACTGCCTGACCATCTGGAATACGCCTTTCTGGAAGAAGGAAATCAGAAGCCGGTGATTATAGCCTCGGATCTATCCAAGACGGAAAAGGAGGAGCTTGTACGGGTGTTGAAGAAAAGGAAAAGAGCCATCGCATGGAGCATCTCCGACATAAAGGGAATAAGTCCATCCTACTGCTCTCACAAAATCAACTTAGAAGAAGGAGCAAGGCCAGTGGTGCAACATCAAAGAAGATTAAACCCGAACATGCAAGAAGTCGTCAAGAAGGAGGTGGTCAAGCTTTTGGATGCAGGAATCATCTACTCCATCTCCGATAGCCCATGGGTGAGTCCGGTCCAAGTGGTGCCCAAGAAAGGAGGAATGACGGTCATTACCAACGAGAAGAACGAGTTAATTCCAACGCGAACGGTAACCGGTTGGCGAGTGTGCATCGATTATCGCAAGCTAAACGATGCCACTCGCAAAGACCATTTTCCCCTTCCTTTCATAGATCAAATGTTAGAGAGACTATCGGGCCATAGCTACTATTGCTTCTTAGATGGGTTTTCCGGGTATTTCCAAATACCCATAGACCCAATGGACCAAGAAAAGACCACCTTTACATGCCCCAGTGGGACCTTCGCCTATAGACGCATGCCATTTGGACTATGCAATGCACCTGCGACATTTCAAAGGTGCATGACCGCCATATTCCATGATATGGTGGAAAAATTCATGGAGGTCTTTATGGATGACTTTTCTGTATTCGGATCTTCTTTCAATGACTGCCTCACAAATCTTGACTCGATGCTTGCTAGATGTGAGAAAACCGACTTGGTCCTAAATTGGGAAAAGTGTCACTTCATGGTCAAGGAGGGTATAGTATTGGGACATAAAGTCTCTAAAAAGGGAATTGAGGTGGATCGGGCAAAGATAGACACCATCGCTAAACTACCCCCACCAACTAATGTGAAGGGCATTAGAAGTTTTTTGGGACACGCAGGTTTTTACCGGCGTTTTATTAAAGATTTTTCCAAAATTACGAAACCTCTAACACAATTATTACTAAAAGACGCACCCTTTAATTTTACTAAAGAGTGTTTAGAGGCATTTGACTTTCTAAAAGAAAAATTAACTAATGCCCCGATCATTATAGCACCAAATTGGAACTTACCCTTCGAGATCATGTGTGATGCTAGTGACTATGCACTAGGAGCGGTCCTTGGACAAAGGGTTGATAAGCACTTTCAACCCATCTATTATGCAAGCAAGACCTTAAATCCCGCCCAAGAGAATTATACTACTACTGAAAAAGAACTGTTAGCCGTAGTTTACGCTTTTGACAAGTTTCGCCCTTATTTGGTTTTATCTAAAACCACTGTTTTTACTGACCACTCGGCTATCAAGTATTTGTTTTCCAAACAGGATGCCAAGCCAAGACTAATACGATGGGTGCTGCTTCTTCAAGAATTCGATATAGAGATACGAGATAAGAAAGGAATGGAGAACGTAGCGGCCGATCATTTATCTAGGCTCGAGAACCCGGCATTGCAAGAAGATAAGGATGGAGACGACTTTCCGGATGAATACATTATGGTGTCCGTGGGAGAGGAGCCATGGTTCGCGGACATAGCTAACTATTTAGCTACCAACTACGTCCCGAAGGATTATAGTAGTCAGCAAAAGAAGAAATTCTTTGCGGAGATCAAATATTATTTTTGGGACGATCCATACCTCTTCCGAAGCTGCGCGATGGAATTATAAGAAGATGTGTGTTCGGAAAGGAGAGTCGAAATATACTAGAGCACTGCCATAGCGGGCCCACGGGAGGACATCATGGAGCACACTATACCGCGAAGAAGATCTTTGACATTGGGTTCTATTGGCCTACAATCTTCAAAGATGCAGCCCAATATGTCAAAGAATGCGATGCTTGCCAAAGGGTGGGAAACATTTCATCCCGAAATGAAATGCCACAACATAGCATTCAAGTGTGTGAGGTGTTCGACGTGTGGGGCATAGACTTCATGGGGCCATTTCCCACATCCAAAGGAAACAAGTACATCCTAGTGGCGGTAGATTATGTTTCAAAATGGGCGGAGGCGCAGGCTTTACCTACAAATGACGGACGGGTAGTGGTACGGTTCTTGAAAAAACTATTCTCCCGGTTTGGTGTTCCAAAGGCCCTAATTAGTGACCGTGGCACACACTTTGCCAATGATCAATTGGACAAGGTGCTCAAGAAATATGGGGTGACCCATAAGTTCTCCACATCATACCACCCGCAAACGAGTGGGCAAACGGAAGTGACCAATCGAGCTTTGAAGCGTATCTTAGAGAAGTCGGTGGGAAGCAACCAAGGAATGGTCGGACAAATTGGATGACGCGCTATGGGCATTTCGTACCGCTTTCAAAACACCTATTGGTACTACACCATATAGGTTAGTTTATGGAAAGCAATGCCATTTACCGGTTGAAATCGAGCACAAGGCATATTGGGCGCTAAAGAGGTGCAACTTTGACATGGAAGAATTGAAGACCAACCGTCTAATGCAAATGAATGCCCTTGAAGAACTCCGAAATGAGGCTTATTCGAGTTCGTGGCTCTATAAAGAAAAGACCAAGAGATGGCATGACCAAAGAATCAAAAGCAAAGACATCCATGAAGGCCAAAAAGTACTACTCTTCAATTCCCGATTAAAACTTTTCTCGGGCAAACTCAAATCAAGGTGGGATGGTCCATTTGTGGTCAAGACGGTGTTTCCTCACGGGGCTATAGAATTGATCTCAAGAGATGGCACGCCATTTAAAGTCAATGGCCATCGAGTAAAGAAATATGAAGAAGGAGTCCCCCGCAATGAAGGAATGGAGGAGCTCCTGCTGTGCGGAATCGCAAACACGTAGAAGGGGCGGAGTCCAGCTAATGACTCCATCAAAAGAAGCGCTTCTCGGGAGGCAACCCGAGTTTCACGTTTGCATTTTCTTTCCCTTCTTTATTTTTCGTATTTTTTTCATTATTCGTCACTCATTCTACTTCTCTAAGTGCTTGAGGACAAGCTCTACTGAAAGTGTGGGGTGGAAAGGCTAAACAAAGGAATTAATATAGTAAAAATTGGCAAAATTTAAAATTTTTTCAACCTGAGACATCTACTCGGCGAGTATATCGGCTATACTCGGCGAGTAAATGTTCGTATACAGCCAAAAATGCATGACACGCGTGTCTACTCGGCGAGTAGATCCATTATACTCGGCGAGTAGACGGTTCAAACCCAGTAAATTAAAATCTGTAAAAATTACTTTTATTCAACATTTCACCCCCACACTCGCCGAGCATCTTCTCTCAGCCGCCTCTCAAGAGTTCTTCAAGATCTAGTCAATTTTCTTTCTCTTTCTCTTAATTCAACCACCAAGGTAACATCTTTACTCTTTAATTTTATGAAAGGTCCAATCTTTATCACATATCTCCCCATATTTGGTATATTTTCGGATTTGGGGAGTTTTCCCCAATTTTTAGGGCTTTGATTTACTCATGAATTAGAAGTTATTTGGTAAAATTTCTTCAAGATATATGGTTAGATACACAATTACAACAAACCCCTATGAACAAATTGGACTATTACACAGATTACACAGATCCGGTTTCGATCTGTCCGAGTGTTCATATTACTCGGCGAGTATGCTCGCGTACTCGGCGAGTAGGTCCCACAAAGATGAAAATTTTTTCTGTTTTAATGATGGGGTGTTGTTTGTTGCTGTGTTTTTTTGGAATGTTTATGCAGATAGCATGGCAAGGAGAGGACAGTCATCACGTGGGGGAGGCCATGGTGATATGCCATGGTTATCCTTTCAACACATCACCTCCAAATCCTCCAAAACCCGAGCCTAAACAGGTTGGAAGCTTCTGCGACAGAAGGAAATTCACTTGCCCACTGCAGTGGATTGGGGATGGATGGGCAATGTTGGCTTGGAAGAGGAACTTACACCATATTTGGTGAAAGACTGTAATTTGGGTTATGCCAACATCACTTGTGATGGTTGGTTGCAATTGTTTAAAATCCAAGAGCCCGTCTACGCGGAGTTATGTTGGGAATTCTTTGCTACCATTTCATTCCGAGGTGGTAGTGAGTTTTACAACCCAAACACGATTTCGTTTTCTTTGGGGGAGAGCTGCGACAATGCAGCATGGTTGAGTTCTCTTGGCGGTTGGGCATCTACGATCAAGAAATAGCAATGACAGAATATTTTGAAGCCTTCTTGGAAAACACTCACAAAGAACTTCCCGAGGGGTGGTGGCATCAACATGGTGGAGTACAATTGCTAACCGGGTCTATATACATTCCACTGCTCAAGAAGGTCATATCCTTTCTCCAATCCATCGACTTATTCACCGGTTCGTTGCGAGCACAATCAACATGCGAAAGGATGGGGATAAAGTTCCCACCCTTGATATCTTTATATGTGGAGTATCATCACCCCCGATGTTTTCTGCAACCTCCCATATTGCATCACTAAATTT